TTTTTTGTAAATAGCAAATGTTTTCAAGAAAGATTTGGTACAAGTGATCATCAGAAAGAGTTAGTGATTTGTGTCCTAGCTGACCAATCTTTGTATTTGTTTGCAATACAATTTATAACTGATTTTTTTGCTGAAGTCATCAATGTAGTTAAAGGATCTGGATATCCAAATTATGATGACTTGGTGCCATATTAAAAATAAATAGAATAACAATGTTATTTAATAATTCTCGATTATAAAATTTTGTTCTTATTTTTATCATTATTCAGACAAAAGTCACTTCCTAAGTTTGCAATAAAGATTATGAGATATTAATTATTTCTGATCAAAACAGAACTTTCATATAAATTTAGAATTTTTCTGTAGAATTCATATCATGATGGTTCATGCCATTTTAAAACGAATAAATATAATAATTTAACAGTTTATGCTCTATTATCACGATTATCATATTACTACATTTTAATAAGTTTGCGACATACTAAAGACAGAGCATTTAATAGGTTTATAAACAAAATTAAGACGAATAGAACCTTTTTAACAATTAAGTTTAATTGAAAATTTTGATTTTCATAGATACTAGCATACGAACTATGATGAATTTGAATAGTAAATTAGCTTTATGACTTCGTACCTAATAGCATTATAGTTAAAAAACAATTTTTATTCTTTTTTATCGACAAATTTTTTTTGGCAATTTGTTTAATCATAAATATATTGTTATGCAGGATAAGTTACACAGCATATAATCATTATATATATTTAATATTCACAAGATTTAACACTATTATTTAGTTTGTTACTCTTCAGTTTAACTAATTTTATCATATTAAAACATTCCTTTAAATTTTTTTTTGTCACATTTATTACTTGTCAATATTGTGATACAGCACACTATGTTTGTAAAAGCTAATAATAAAATGTCAAAAAAAAAGCAACCAACTTCTACTGATATCTTTATTGACCGTATTAAGGGAAACATTAAACTAGTTAAATCTTTCTATGATCCATTTACACCAAAGTTGGATGGTAATTTAGAAAATTGGAAAGACAATTGGAAGAAGTACAATCTAGATTTGCACGCTAAGATAGTACAAGAAAAAATTGATTTGAACTGGATTGAATTTTGTAGCAGATTTAATTTATGCGAATCATTGTATAATTCAATCAAAAAAAAGGAATTCGATTCTTCAAATCTGAAAAACAAAGAAATAAACAGATTGATTAGAGAAACTATTCCAGATCCTGGAAATGTTTATTCAAATCTTTACTCAATAACAATGTTTTGGAGGAAATCATATGACAATTTGACTTTGATAATTGAAGGTAAATAAGAATTTTATTTTGAAAATCGAACTTTTTTGATTAATTATTTTATTATTTAAGAATTTGATAAAGAAAAAATTCCCCGAGAAAAAATACTCGAAAAATTGAGATGTTCAAACATTACAATTAATTATTTTCAGGAAGTTGGTCCTCAAGATATTAAGAAATTAATTAGTTGTTTAATGAAAAAAGATAATTAATGTATCAGTTAAACTTGGAAAAACAAAATCTTTAATTGATTGTTGTTGTTTAAGTAATTTAATTTTTTATGCAATTATGATTTTAATTTTGTTTTATTTTTTGCAAAATTGAATTATGTAGTAAGTTTCAAATTAATTATATTATCAAAATGGTTAATTTTTTATTCAATTATGATTTTGAACTTTTATTATTTTATAAATTTGTAATTAATTATAAATTAAAATGATTTCTTCATTGAATTTCTGACCGATAAACATTCAAGAAGTAGTGAAAAGATCAAAAAATTTAAAGCAATAAATAATTGGCTAAAGACTTGTTTAACTGATATCTTTTCAAAAGGTTATGTATCTTTGGAGATGTTTCACTAAAGACTTGTTTAATTGATAACTCCTAAAAGATCACGCAAGGTGTTTTAACGTTTCACAGTTATACAAGTAAATAAATTGTCTTTCTAAAGATGATTGATAACTCCTGAAAGATCACATAAGGCATTCTTATGTTTCACAGTTATACAAGTAAATAAATCATGTCTTTCATTCTAATGTTTCACATACAATTACTTAATTGGCTAAAGACTTGTTTAATTGATAACTTTTAATAAAAGATCATGCAAGGCGTTCTTATGTTTCACAGTCATATAAATAAATAAATCATGTCTTTTCAAAAATGATTGTAATTGGTGAATAAATCATGTCTTTCCAGAATGATTATGCAAGGCGTTCTAATGTTTTACATACAATTACTTAATTGGCTAAAGACTTGTTTAATTGATAACTCCTGATAAAAGATCACGTGAAGCATTCTTACATTTCACAGTCATATAAATAAATAAATCATATTTTTCCAAAAATGATTGTAATTGGTGAATAAATCATGTCTTTTCAAGATAATTGTAATTGGTAATAAATCATATCTTTCCAGTATGATTATGCAAGACGTTCTAATATTTCACATACAATTACTTAATTGGCTAAAGACTTGTTTAATTGATAACTCCTGATGAAAGATCACGCAAGGTGTTCTTACGTTTCATGGTTATACAAGTAAATAAATTTTTCAAATGATTATGATTACTTAATTGGCTAAAGACTTGTCTTTCCAAATAATTATACAAGGCGTTCTAATGTTTTATATATATTTAATTATTGATAACTCCTGAAAGATCACGTAAAGGTTTCACAGTAAATAAATCATGTCTTTCTGAGATGATTGATTGTGCAAGGCATTCTAATGTTTCATATACAATTACTTAATTTGCTAATGACTTGTTTAATTGATAATTCCAGAAAGATTACACAAGGCATTCTAACGTTTCATAGATATGCAAGAGTAAATAAATCTTGTCTTTCTGGAATGATTATGCGAGGCATTCTAACATTTTATACTATCATAATTACTTAATTGGCTAATAACTTGTTTAATTGATAACTCTAAAAGATCACACAAGGCATTCTAATGTTTCACAGATATGCAAGTGTAAATAAATCTTGTTTTTCTAAAATGATTATGCAAGGTGTTTTAACATTTCATTCACGTTATCATAATTACTTAACTGGTTAAAGACTTGTTGATTAGTAACTCCTGAGAAGATCATGCAAGGCTTTCTAACATTTTATAGTTATGCAAGTAAATAAACCTTGTCTTTCTGAAATGATTATGCAAGTTGTTCTAACATTTCATTCATGTTATCATAATTACTTAACTGGCTAAAGACTTCTGAGAAGATCACACAAGGCTTTTTAACATTTTACAGTTATATGTAAATAGACCTTATCCTTTTGAAATAATTATACAAAGCGTTCTAACATTTACGTCATTATAATTACTTAACTGGCTAAAGAATCATGCAAGGTGTTCTAACATTTCACATTATCACAATTACTTAATTTGCTAAAGAGTTGTTTATTGGTAACTCCTGAGAAGATCACGCAAGGCTTTCTAATGTTTTACAGTTATGCAAGAGTAAATAAATCTTGTCTTTCTGAAATGATTATGCAAGGCATTCTAATATTTCACGCTATCATAATTACTTAACTGGCTAAAGACTTGTTTGATTGGTAACTTCTGAGAAGATCATGCGAACAAAGTTTAATTATTATATTTATTCTTGGTATAGAGAGAATTTTCTGATCTAGTCTGACCCAAAAATTCATTCAGATTTCAAGACTGATCAGAACAGATTGTTTGTAGACCTATGCAAACATATTAATAATTATGAAATTGGATTGAGAACTTGTTGGCATTCTATGTATCTATAATGTATATTTATTTTTAAGTAATGAGGAAATAACCAGTAGACATACTATACGATTAATTTTAAAGGAAATTAAATTATTTTACAATGAAACTTGGACTCGATTATTGATAGGAAGTTAAAATTGTTTTACATTTAGTTTATTTTCGTATATTCACTCTTACATTTTTACATAGCATTTGTAGTCAACTTTTCCAATGGGTAATTAAACTAATGAAATTTAATAAGTTTGAATACGAAGATTAAAAACCTATATAATTCTACCGCAGAAATCAGATTAAGTTACTAAGTGACTAATAAATTTGATTTATTGTTTTGAATATATACATAATAGATATTATGTAATCACTAATGATATTAATATTTTGATAAGAGTAATATTATGTATACTGTAAAAAATATACAATTTATCAATTTGGTTAAAACCAGTTTACTATATAAATATATATTGATAAAGTAAATTTTAAGAAAATCATACAATTTCTATAATGATAATACTGTAATATATTCATTACATAATAGAATTTGTAATTTTTTATACTGTAATTCAAAAGATATTTGATTTTTTTTAACAATGCAGAAAATTAATAATACCAGATATGTATTTAAGCGTAGATAATCGAGAGATCTAGTTTTTCTAAGAAACTTTACTTTTTTATACATTATTCGAAGGAAGTTATTATTATCTTTTTTTTTATATTATAGATATTCACTTTTGTACTTTATTGTTTAAGATTTGGATGAGCTCAAGTGGAGTGATCAGATTCTCGACCAGTGGCAGAATTCTCGGTCACAATGAAAGAGCTCGTTCTGATATTCAGTAGAATATTACTTCATTAATAAAATAATTTATATTATTATTTAAACTGCTGTGATAATAATATTTAAAGTAATTATAAATAAATAAAATCTGAGCGGTTTTTACTTTTAAAAAAATGGCTCCTTCTAGAAGAAAGAAAACCTCTGTGAAAATTAGTAAGACCTCCACGAAACGTGATACTCCTGCAGTATCTACTTTTACAAGAAATGGAAATAGAAATAATAGAATAGGCAAAGTCTATTGAATCAATGAGTTTAATCAATATATCGCATATATTGAGCAGTATAAAGTACAATTTCTAGGAAAAAATAATACTTTTTTTGATGATGAAATTAAACAACTTAAACTTTGGAAGAGTATTATTGAGGAGTCATCTGAATGTGACATATTAGCTAGTAAAGGAAGTTTAGAACAAAGATTTAATGATCAAAAAATAAAATACAAAGAAAAAGTTAGAAGGTAATATTTTATATATTACATTTGATTTTAATTTGTTAATAATATTTTTTTAATTTATAGATTGGAAACAGAAAATAAGCAACTTAGAAGAGATATCCTCATTAACAAACGTGAAATTTCTAAGCTAGAAGTTAAGTTGGCTAAGTTGGAAAGAGATTATGAAGCTATGCAATTAGATAATAATGAAAAAGAACAAAAAATTATTCTTTTGGAAAATGAGATTGCGTTATTGTCAGGAGATAGAGTTGATTATTATAAAGACCTTTACAATATAACTTTAGAAGAAAATATTGAATTAAAGGATAAGGGAAGCTTATTTTAAATTTTTTTTTTGGAAAAAAGCTATTATATATTCCTAATATTACTGTTATTACTGTATATGTCATTTTTATAGATTGAAGATTTACAAAATGAACTCGAATTAATGAATAAGAAAGTTAATGATTTAACGATAGACAAAAATAGTACAACATCACAATACATTTCTCTAAAAAAAGAACATAAAACCTTTCAAGATTTTCATAAACAACAAATGAAAGAGCAATTTAGTATTGAAGATACAAGTGTTTGGCAATTTTTCAAAATAATAAGCCTTAATAAATTTTTTCAATCATTTGCTAGCAAAGATACTTTGAAAGTATTACACTGGTCAAAATCAAAAATATAAACCAAATATCATCAAGCAATCATCTAATCGATAGCTGGCCGATAGTTTG